TAAATAAAATCCCGATCATCTATCTCGTATTCGCGCTTCCACGGGTGGCTTCCATATCACGTGAGGAAATTACGTGAGAAAACTGCGTAAGAATATCGTGCACGTTCGCGCGTTTCACTTATCTCTATGAGAATGACCTCGTTTATATCGCGATAATTAAATCGGCCGATTGAATTTCTGCTCCGAAGTAAAATTTGTCGAAGCATCGCCGGCAATTCGAAGGCCTTCAATTTCAGATAACTTCCGCTCGACCATCGATACATCGCTATCAAAACAGCTGACGTTTCTCTCGGTTCGCCCTCTGGAAATTGTAGGCAGGTTGAAAGATCAATCATTTGAGACAGTTATGATACGTCCGGCTCAAAAATAGCGATTCTGCCGAGGTTTTTATTTTCAACGCCCTCCACCCCCTACGAGATATATATTCCTTTCTCTCTCTTTCGTACATGTCACCACGAAGACAGACTGAAAATGTAGACGTTCCTATAGATTACGTCACCGCTCGCAGTTGTTACGGGCATTTCCTATCTGCACGTGTGTAACTTTTCATATCCAGTGCGGCCGCCTGCAAAGCAGATATGCGCGTGAGCCCGCAGCTATAAGAGCACGGTACGCTGTGTTTTTCCTCTCTCTTCCTCACTCTTTTTTCACTTTTTTTTTCGACGTTGCCCTTTTTTCTCGCCGACCGTTTCGCGAGATAATGACGATCTATGGCGGAGGCCGTTGCTTTCTCGCGAGTCACGACGATGCCGCGGCGTATCAAGGTAACACACACGCTATATCAGAGCACGCGTTCGCGTCTGAAAAGCATGTTGACTGTTTTATTACTCCCACTATCTAGTGTATTAGCTGACGGCGCACGCGGGAGACGCGACTCGTAAATGTTTGATGTCGGAGATTGGATTTTCCAGACGGCGGAACGGGACGGTGCGATTCCGCTAAAGGGCCGAATATGTGTGAGAGAGAGCGAGGATCTTTCCGCAATTATCTCCTGTGTGTGCCTGAGTGGTGCAAAACACGATATTAGCGAGCAAGAAGGACCGATCTTCGCTCCGATCCGAATCATTATAAGCATAATGATCAAGTCGTAGACTTTTTCTGTTAGGCTTAATGATAAGATTTTTTCTCGTGAGAGGCAAAGGGAAGTCTGGTCTGTCTATTACATCACGCTATGTGTTCTCGCCGTAACGTATTTATGGAAAATTCGTCGAGTGTTCTGCCAATTACCGATTTCGACGCGTTATCAAAACTAACGGCCCGACTGCGAAAATACTGCAAAAACCCTGTTGTATTAAACGAGAAAGTAGAGCAGCCGCGGAAGCGTGTCGGTCGTCGGATATTCACAAGCATAGTTGCGTGGCTAATTACAGCTACAGCTCCTGGCCCTCCACCACCACCGTCGCCGGCGGTATGAGATTTTAACTGTAGCGGAACGAAATGTTCATTACAGGAAAAATCCGCGAGAGAACATCGCGCGCGCGCGGGGTCAACTGACCGCCGTTTGAACTTTCCCCCGTGACGCTATATTGTGGCAAATTTATAATAAACAATGTCTATTTTCGACTTGTGATGAACTATTTTTCGTATCGCGCGATCGCGCGATAATCTTTTACATTTCCGTCGCATGCTCGTTATTTATGCTCGCGTGAATGTACTGCCTACCAGCAACGGTAGATTGGGGTACGTTTCGTAACCGCGTTAATAGTTTCCCGGCTAACAAGGAAATACAGCGAAACTTACCGGCGGAATTAGATTCATCGTAATTCAAAGAATCTGTGCAGGACCGTTCATTGACGTCCAAAGTGACGAACAAATTGGAGAAACGGTAATAAAATATCCGTAGTAAAATAAAGATTTGAATTAATTGACTGTTTATAGAATATCGTAGTCTTCTGTAGTTGTGCTGACTCACTATGTATTTATTATGTTATTTTACTTACTCTTGTAATATACAATTATAAGCAGTGAGCGAACGATCGGAGAATATATATACTCAAGTAACACCCTGTGTATTTATTTATTTGCTGCAGCAGCATCAACACTTTTCTGTCTCTCTGTACTATTTTTCTTCGTGTGGCCATTTAACTTGTTCGCTTGTCAATGTATACTTTAGGAAGCCCAAGGATTGAAAAAATCGATCTTCGGTGCGTTTTGTCAATACGACACAGAGCTCGCAATACTCTTCACCGCGATCGTTTTCCTGAATCCAATGTCGTTACGATAGACACGAACACACACGCAATAAAATATGATTGATAATTACGAGCGGAGGTTGCAACTTTTATCGCGAACAGTCGAGTAATCCTCCTCGTCCCCTAATGCAATTCCCTCGTTATTCCGCGGGTTTCTCGCGTTCCGTTCAATTCCGACGGGCTTTTTCAAATCTCCGCTAAAGACATCGACTGAGCTGGGCTGTGCGGCACGGAAAAACAAATCGTGTTACGTTGATTATCTGCGCCGAGTTCTCCGGAAGCCAGAGGGAATATCGAACGGCAACGAGGGGAACAACGATATGTGATACCTGGCGATGTGCGATGATATGCGGCGAAGAGAAAAACATCGCGCGAAAAGCCACGAACGGAGAAATTAGCCTCGTCGAGATCACGTTGAAAAATAAGGAGAAAGCGACTTTCCGCGCGGGACGTGTATATCGGGAAAGGAGAACATTTCGCAAACCTCGGATCCTTTTTTCCTTCCGCCTTTGCAGAAATATATCCGTCGCAAGTCATCCGTTCGTGAAATTCGCTTATACAGTTCGACACGAGAGATTTTTCAATCAATTCTTAAAGACGGCTCTCGGCTGTGGAGTTTCCAAGTTGGCGCGTCAATTTTACTCGAGCCGCGGAAAACGTTCTATTTTGGATGATAGGTCGCCTTTTTTCCACTAACTCCACCGCTTCCCGAGATGTTGAATCGCTTACAGATCAACGCACTTCTTTTCATTCCTTCTGGGGCAGAAATCGCTCGATATTGCGAGTCGCTCCTCAAGTCGTCGTCAATGTCGTCGCGGAGACACTGAACTTACTCAAGGCAGTTTATTATATTTCATTCCCGTGCGATTTTGGCGCGCTCTCGTGTCTTCGACGACCTTTTCCCGAAATTTCAATTCGAAAAGTACAATACAGGTCATTCGATTTTTCGCTCATATAGAGCGAACTCTCTCCACTTTGAAACACTACATCGAGGAAACAATATTTGTAACTATAACTACATATGTAGGGTACGGTATATTTTTGATTGCTTTTTCCGCCAATGACCTGATAGCGGAAGCTATTTCCGAGTCACCGGTCCGAAGATCATATGGCCGGTAAGCAGAACGAAAAACTCGTCGTCAAAGCGAACGCCAGGTCTCCTCTGACCAGCGGACTGTACAACACTCATCTTTGCCTCCCTGGTTTTGTTTGTCTTTGCGCACTTTTCTATTTGCGCTATCGTTTGCTTTGTGCCGGACAGAAACGCACGAGGAGGCCTGTTTTTCATGACGCGCGTACGGATGTTCCTCTATTTCGATTTCCGGTTCGCTTTGTATCGTCCGGAACCGAAATCGCCTTTTTTCTACGCGCGCGCCCGCGCAAACGCGATGACAAGTAAAGAGGATTAAAAATGACATTTTACAGATACCTCAGAATTTTCGTCGCAGCTCCGCGGGCGCAAAATTCAATGAAGATAACGAGACCGACCGAGTGCGATCCATCGACGGGAAAAATAATGTTCGCCATTATCGCTCTATTTATCGCGCAAACAGAAGCGTAGTCGGGAATAACCGCAAAGAATACCGGCTAAAATTACCGAAGGATCTCGGTGTGTATTCCATCGCGTGTTATTCAAAGCTTCGTTTAATTGCGCGCGCAACGAAATCAAAACCACCTTTAAATTGCAAATTTAACGAAACGAGCGTTGCGACAATTGAGATATCGCGTGACAATCGATACCAGCGAATCTAATCTACGTAAGATACGCTCCCCCTCTGATATAATACCAAAAATTTGCGACAATGAAACTAATGATGATTACGACTCGACGTCTGCTCGCGTGTTCGAGCCTCTCTAAAAGCAGTCCATCGGAGTAAGTTTACGCTTCTCCGTCAACACGGCAGGTTAGAGTTCACGGAAGCCAGATGGATGCTGCTGAAAACGGTGCTTTCAGCTTAACGCAGTCACTAAGCACGGCTGTTTTAACTACCCGACCGCCCACTACTACTACACACGCCAATTTCGCGCTGTTTAAGTCCTCGTTACCAAATATTTTGCCAGCGCTAAAGCAGAACGAGAGGATAATACTCGTGTAATAATGAAGACGGCTTCGATTAGTAACAACCGCGAAATTTGCCGCGGGGTTTCGAGGGAGCAGACCCAATTTTCCGCTTTTCTTCCCCTCGTGGGAAAACAGTGAAGGTAAGGACCGAACGTTTATTATGTGTACATATATCCACTCTCTATAATAATTTTACTCTTCCCTCGCGTTAAGGTCAAGTTCCCGGTAAGTATAATATGGTCCAAAATACAGCTCCCAGACGATCGACGAGAGCCGTCAGCGTCGCGTCAAGCATGTCATCCTTCGTGATATCTTGGTTTAAACGGCGAGAGCAGCTCGTACAACCACACCGACGCAAAGGGAATATACGAAGACTTCACCTGTCAATTATATTATTTCTCGAGAAGATCTTGAAGGTTGGGGCACGAGTGACGTTGATTTATATCGTACATTGTTTCCCCTCCGATGAATCAAGACTCAACTATTTTTTAACTAAGTTTATAATTTCTTTCTTTCTCAGAGAGATGATGCTGCTTCATATAAATCCTCGAATATTAACCTTTGCTTTACACTGAGCACAAAATATTTGTGACTGTAATCATCACAGTGAGAGATTTATAGTGCGAAGAACCATTTTTTCTAGTAAACGTTTCAACGATACTACATCGGCACGCTAAAATAGAATATCTTTACTTAAGCTCTCCAACGAAACTTCGTACTAACTAATTAGCAATTCGTTTTTGCAGATAAATGGAATGAGGTGTCACATTTCACCGTCGTGCACCATCGGAGGACGTTTCGGGAAGCACCGCAGTGTACCGCATGCAGTGAGTAAAGTACTCGATTAGCATTCGCTTTTACCGCACCGTAACATTTACGCACGGCGTATCATCTAAATTTTCGGCTCGCTAATGCGCGTATGCGCGGTGGGCGCATACAGATGTGCGCTACGTGATCGAAATTTTGTACCGGCCCGGTAATCAATGCGAAAGTGGCTAATCAGTTACCCCTCCCGTGCGCAAATTATCGTTTGGAGTGACGCAAATTGCCGCGGCGGAAGCGCCGAATAAAAATGCTGTCGTACGGACCGCAGGATAATAAAGAAGGGCGCGACAGTAACTTCGTTACATCGGTGAATCCTGTTAAAATTCACGATGCGGAACAAGCGCATTACGACTTGCAAATGCGCAAAATACGCGGACGGAAGTAAATGTATTCGTTTTTCGCACGCGCTTCCGCTCGGGGACGATCGCAATTAATCAAGACTGTTCCCCGTCCAGTCGCGACCGCGTCATCATCCAAATTGTTGACTTTATTAACGCACCGTGTACTTACAACGTTAATGTAGAACCCTCGCGTGTAAATAAATATTTACATGTTCGCAGTCATTCACGTATCTATACATCGGCCGACGCTTGATTGATTACGCCTGAGTACCCGCCGCTAATTATTCAACATAACATTTCGATTATCGACACGCAACGACGGTTAACTACACCGAGAGATGTTTCACGGCCGGTTTACTTAGATTAATGCGTGGAGGGAACGCATGCATACCGGCGCTGCAATGGCCGCGATTAATCGCCGCTGATGATAATTGCATTCTTCTGCAATTTTAATATCGCTTAATATCGCTTAATACCGCGAGGAGCGTATAGAATTACCGATAATGTCGGTCGGTCGCGTCATCCCCCGTTTCTCTTTTTCCCTCTTTGCGAAATTGTCGCGCAATTAAGTAATCCGTCTGGAAACGGCCTGATTAATCGCGCGCTATTAATGCAGACGCGTCTATACATATTCAATAACGCGCGATATACACACGCGCTATGTGAACGAATCAATAATTTTAACGTTATCACAGTATCAATCTGCGCAGAACGAACTACGTAAAATAATCACGATCCGGTAATGCGACTCAATTAGGACGCGGCACGTCCCGTACCGTCGTCCGTTTACACGATCGCGCGTGCATTCGTCTGGATTACGACAATCGATCCGGGCTCGTTATTAACTTAATATTAAGTTGAAAACGATTTAGCGCGGCGATTATCCGCGGCTGAACGTGAGTGACATCGAGCGAATCGAAAATTCCTGCCGCAATCGACGATTATCCGCGAGCATTACCTTAATTGCAGGCGCCGCTAATGCGCGTATAGTTGTTCCGGGTCGCCGTATCGGTCTTGCATATCGTCCCTCGTGGCTCTCGTCAATTGCGACTGCGAGAGTCTTGTCCGTAAATAGGCTCCCGAGTGCTCAAAATGCGAATCCTAAACCCCACACCCATTCAGGTGACACAAGAGAGGCGTGCTCTCGATCTTCTCGCGCTACATCTTTCTATTTCTTTCTCTATTCCTCTGCCTTTTTTTCCCTATCATGACGTTTCTAAAGTCCTGTTATGTCGAATTACAAAAATAGCTTTCAACAGTCGTTTATCCAATAAAATGATATGATACTCTCTAGATTTTTTGGAATAAAGTTTCACTCGAAAAGTAGAGCGACAGCTCTACTGACGTCGATTGCCATTTCGATGGTGTCATCGAACGCTCCGATCGGAGTTTAAAGAGCTGCATTGTGGACTCGTCCCTTATATACCACCGACATGAATACAACAGGTTTTCGGAGCGCTTCACGAACGGCAAAAGATTAGAATCGCGCCGGCGGATAACAACGCTGATCTCGTTAACCCGTGTCGTCACGTCATGACATTGTCATCGCGTCGATATCAGCGGAGGGATAATCGTTAAATTAATAATCCCGCGGCCGTATTGAAAACGCGAGATTCCATCTTTCTCTCCCTCTCTCTCTCTCGTGCGTATACGGATACAAATTATCCATAAAATGGATAATTCCGTCCGAGCGAAGGACGCGCCTCGACTTAAGAGCCCGCATATATTTACACGGTTTTATGCGGTGAACTATAAATTGGAATTAACCGGAGCAAGTTTGGACGCTTTCCAAGAGAGCGTCGCATTTCTGACGCTGCGGATCGGGTAAAATGCGGGGTATATACGGAAAAGTGCGCGTAACAACGCAAGGCGAAATCAAAATTGTCGGACGCTGGTTAAAGATAAATAAAAAAGAAGGAGAGGAAGGAAGAACGCATGCTACTCCACACGATGTGTGTCCACAGGTGCGGCGGCGCTTAGCTCGAACGTGTTGTGTGCCATTTACGTCGTGAGTTTATGGCGCCGTGTAACCGCCGCATCCTCGTGCTAAAATGACGGAAAAATATAACCCGGTACGTCGTTATAATTAGCCCTCCATTATGCTTAACGTCCATTAACGTCGTTAGTTTCGGAGCGACACCCGCGGCGGCGGAGGGAAGTCGCCTACCACTACTCGCGAGGGTGCCTATGCGAGCGTGAAATTTTGTCGATGCTAAATCGAGCGAATCTGGCATTTTGATGTCAATTAATATTCCACGCTCCGTTTTGCGCTAATCGCTCACAGGAAACTCCGTTCTAGCGAAACGAACTTAGGGGCCTCCTATTAGCCGTGAACGCGTGATATACTGCTCGGAGGTTTGTAAGCTTTCGCGAGAAACGGGATTATAATTTCGGCGCCGAGTGCTGCGCTTTAGCGGGTAATCATGATTTAAATCGATCGAGCGAGAGACGTAAGGTAATGGTCTCAATTATCGGTCGAATCCCAATTTCGGCTTGAACTCGAGGTTTACTATAATACATTAAGAAAGTACACATTATGTGATGAAGATGTGAGAAAGTTCTTCTTATGTTCTTTAGTTCTTTCTGACTTATTATTCCGAGTTGAAATTTTAGCCCTATGTTAAACCTTTAATTCCATAACATAGGAGGAATCAAGATAGCAGAATAGGTTCCATTTTTATGAAAATTTACTTCCATTTTAATCACAATAATGTCTCAAATTTCTATCTTTATAATGATAAAATGGATTGCTTTGAATATTCATATGATTTTAATAATCGAAATTTCGAGAATATTTATAGCTTCAAGGTATCGCCAAAATTATACTTGTAGAATAAAAGGGAGAAATTAAGAAGTGTAATATCATCAGAATAGGTTTTTAGGTCTATAGATCATCTAGACGCAAACCTTTATTAAGGGGGTAGAAAGATTTGAACTTGTGAAAAGTCGATAAAATTGTACTCGTTATTACATATAAAGCGTTATTACATGTAAAATTCTTCTAATGGTCAGCTTGAAGCGACGTATTGATCACAGAATAAACATTGTATATTTTTTCTCGCAGCAATTTCCACGCTTCTTTATGTCATATGAAACTCTCTTCAGCGTCGATAAAGTGAAAATAAATATATCCAACGGGATGAGGAGCTGATTGATGCGATTAATTTCCGAGCGGGACCGATTAATCTCCCGGCGTATCGCCGCCTCCCGTTGTCTCAAATTACCGTTTGGTAATTCCAAGTCGTCGTTCGCTAACGTTTGCTAACGTTTGCGATATATTTTCGTTTTAAACATAGCTGAATATATACGGGCGGGATGTCATTATACTTCGGATCCATTAACGTTCCAGTTTCGAAAAAGTAGCTCGACGATCAGCTTTCCGTGAAGTCTGCACTCGTGTACAGATTTTTTGCCCATCCATTATCATCGGGCGCGATTAACCGCTTCAGCATATTCTCCACCGCAAGATTCTGGGTGACAAAGAGTTTTCGACGTGGTAAGACCGTTCTGGGGAACACAAACGAGCGACCTTTTACTTCCTAACGAGTTTTAATATTCGCGAGTCATTTCGTACGTTCGCACGAAAATCTCTGGCGGAAATTAGAACATTGTAGCGCGCGGACGCTGGATTTATGTCGCGCGGCTGCGATCTCTCCTCAATCACGCTCGTCGTATACGAACATTTTCCCAAACTGCGCTTGCGAACCGTCGTTTCTCAGATGACCGTTGATGAATCCCCGTTTTCGCAACTTCCGGATGAAATACACAACGCGAGGCTGGCTATTTATCCAATTTTATCTCGTTTTCGCGCGTAAAAATGCTTGCCACCCGACCGTAATTCCCGCCAGTTTAAGATCCCGTGATGATTTCCCGAGCTGAAATTGTGACCTTTTGTTAAACCTTTAATTTTGCAATACAGTAGGAGTTGAGATGGTAAAATAAGTTCAATTTAACTTCTAATAAACTTTGAGCCTGATGATGTCTTAAATTTTCGTTTTCGCTGCTTTAGTTTCGCTAAATCAGCTTGGTCAATTTAGCGTTAAAACTGAATCTGTAGAATAAAAAGTTACAGAGAAAAGTTAAGAAGTATTGACAAGTAGGTTTCTAATAATTTACAGGGTACCTGGGCAAATTATCCTTAAATACATCAAAATAGAATCAAAATTTCCACTCGGCTTATCACGCTGTTCGGACTATGTCACGGAGGAGGAAACTATACGCTTCGATATCCTTCTGCCCTCGCGAACGAAAATCACTCGCTCTCCGACGATCACTTCGCAGTTTTATCTAGGAAAGTCGGTCGTCGGTTAACGAAGCGATAAATACGCCGACTAACGCTCAGTTCCCTAACTTTCTATTTACAAATATCGCATGATTAACGAGTACTTGCGAACTTGTCGCAAAATTTTAGCGACCTGTAAGGCCGGTTCATCCATAATCTCTGAATGCTCAAAAGACACGCCGCTCCCTTCGATTCGTAGCGACTCATAATGACCGCGTTTCATTCGGCATCCCTATACGAAAACCATTACAAAATCATTTTCACCTCATTTAAGATCAATTTTTAGGGTTTGCATTTTTATTTTCACGTGGATGAATCTGAAATCATGTAAGACTGCCTCCATTGCAATAGCATATGGATCCGGAATAGCATCTTGCGC